TTTGTGCTAAATACTGTGGTAATACTTTATATTAGCTCTCGTAAACCTAATACCAATGACAATGTGAAGTAGGTATTATAATTTCCATTTAAAAGGTAAGAGAACTAAATCTCAGATTTAGCAGTTTGCCCACAGTGATACAGCTTGAAAACAACAGGCAGATTTTCAATTTCAAGTCTATCTGACTTTAAGGTACTTGTTCTTATTCACTGAGCTTTATATTAATATATTTAAACTAGATATTTCAGGTCAAACATTAGCTTTGGAGCATTACTGTGTTGTTATTATTTAACTGGCTATACACATTGGTACTTGTGAATTTTTTTCCGTAAGTCTGTTCTGTGGAGACAGTCATATGTTTTTGCACAATATCACTTTGCAGTAGCTTGGTGTGCCATAGTGTTAAGATAATAGAAAATATAGAATGTCAGTCCTTTCCAAAGCCACATCATAAATTACTTTAGAAAAGTAGTATGGCTAACACTTAGAAAAGGAATTAAAAGTAAGATTGTAGCTCTATATACAAGTCCACAGATGTCAATGGGGGAAGCGATATTCTAAGAGTTTATTGTTTGACTCTAATGAGAAGGGTACAGTACTATACATCTAAAGAAAAGAAACAGGTTAACAAGAAAGGATGGGGTAACATCCAGACATACCCTCACATGGACTGGAGAAAATGGCCTTTAATTAATTGCCTGAGTAATTTCCTTCCTTTCTATTGGTACACATACGTTCATAGTAGAAAATCTAGCTTCCCTAATTAATTTTTTCCAGAGTGTTCCCTTGTGGTACTTACAGAATCTTGAGATAGAAGTTACTTACAGAATCTAGATTTTGCATAAACATTATGGATTCCTTTGCAGTCTGGGACTTGTCTGGGATAAATGTACATTTTGCTTCATACAGCCCTGTCTGTGAGTCACGTCGGCATGGCCTTGTTATACAGCTGCCCCCACTGCATTCCTTGAAAACCACATTAGTACCAGTAATATGAGTGGAACATCTATGATGAAAGAATTAGATTACACATATATACATATACATATGAAGACTAGGCAAATCATGAATAAAGACCAACAGACATCTAGAAAACCCCAAGGATTCAACCAAGAGGCTCCTGGAATTGATAAATGAATTCAGTAAAGTCTTAGGATACAAAATCAATACACACAAATCAGAGGCATTCATATACGCCAATAGCAGTCATACCGAGAACGAAATCAAAGACTCAATTCCCTTCACAATAGCAACAAAGAAAATAAAGTACCTAGGAATATATTTAACTAAGGAGGTAAAAGACCTCTACAGGGAGAACTAGGAAACACTGAGAAAGGAAATAGCAGAAGATGTAAACAGGTGGAAAACCATACCATGCTCGTGGGTCGGCAGAATCAACATTGTTAAAATGTCTATACTACCCAAAGTGATCTACAGATTCAATGCAATCCCTATTAAAATACCAACATCATTTTTCACAGATGTAAAAAAATTAATTTTACGCTTCGTATGGAACCAGAGAAGACCCTGTATAGCAAAAACAATCCTAGACAATAAAAACAAAATGGGAGGCATCAATTTGCCAGACTTCAAACTTTATTACAAGGCTGTAGTAATCAAATCAGCTTGGTACTGGCACAAAAACAGAGCCATTGACCAGTGAAACAGAACTGAGAACCCAGATATAAAACTATCCTCATACAGCCATCTAATCTTTGACAAAGCAGACAAAAACATACACTGGGGAAAAGAATCCTTATTCAATAAATGGTGCTGGGAAAACTGGATAGCCAC